TCCATTTCTTACAGCGCAGCGTGCCAACAACAAGGTGATGATCGGTTGATAGCTCTGCGCTTCTTTTAACGCGAAAACCCATTACTGAGCGTCCTTAGTCAGACGATACGATTATAAAATCGAGCATCGACTTCTCTGCACAAGGTTCCCGGTACCAGGTGTACTGATGCACTCTTCGATGCTGGAAGAAGGTATTTATAATGGACAGTCCGTTGTTCGCTCAAAACCGCAGCAACTTCATGCCGTTATTGTTGAGGTCGCTAGGGCTGTTTTTTTCGAATCACGCAGTTTGCGCTTTTCAGCGTCTACTCCGACATGCACATTAAAATCGCCCATGAGTGTGAGGGATTCTGTATTCGGCACTTCGTGCAGAGCACATTCTAGTTCCTCAAGAAAGAACTCGTAATCTCCCTCTAAATTGGGCTCATATACCTGTGGCAAGGCCGACGCTTTAACCTATTGTAGCTTCAGTCGGAGGATAGGCATTTTTCCGTTGACAGACGTCCATTCAGTGATTCTCTCAGCCGTCTTGAGCGCGTGCTGATGTCCATATATGAATATATGGCCTTCTTGGGGGAATAATGTGTTCAGCAGTGGAATAGGACTTCCGTCGAGCTGTCGTGACACCGTGAGAAATTACCTAAAGATTAACTTTTCGTGTAAGCATAGTCCTAAGGACGGCTTGGGACATTGTTGATGTTTATCCCCTGATAGAGTGAGGTTGGAGGTCATCCCTTTAGTTGAAATATTACGCTTCGTTCATGTTGGAATAAAGAGTTGCTTCTCTTTTCTAGATCATTAAATGAACTGTTGTTTGAACACGTCATGAGAATGCAGGAACGCACGATCATCGACAGCTTTTTTGTATCAATGTATTTTTTCAAGTTAACATGTTTTACTACACGAGAGTGCCGTATCACCTTCAGGTTTACTTTTTTATTTCATGGCGTTTAAAAATAGGAACCAACTTTTACCACACGCTTTATATTAGTTTATTATGATTAAGTAGTTTTCTACATGATAATTTGTAAGCAATAGGAAAGATTTTCTATGAGTAAATGCTCTGGATTTAAGTGCGTTTACGTTTTTGTTTGGCAGGTATGGCTAGCTAAACGCGGGTTTTTTATTCATTGACCAGCCGAATGACTTTTTGGCGTGATTCATTTTTAATGCAGTCGATGAGCGATCGAATAAATAATTTTACTTCGTTTTCATATGGGAAAAGTGTTATTTTAGGCGAACTCAGAATGGGGAATTGGTTCGCTACGCTTTTCAAAGGCTTGTTTGGTAAAAAGGAAATGCGCATTTTGATGGTAGGCTTAGACGCAGCCGGCAAAACCACCATACTCTACAAGCTTAAGTTGGGAGAAATCGTTACAACCATTCCTACAATCGGTGAGTCTGTTCGCTTTATTTTTTTCATGTTATTCTGTTGATTACAATTAATAAATTTTTTGTTCTTATTGCGAATTAATCAAATTGGCAATGTGAATAAATGCTTAACTTCTCCAACATAGGATTTCACGTCTGACTTCGCTGTCTCTGCTGGTGCTGTTTATTTAGGGGACCACTTAAACTGATGTGGCTGAAAAGTCACATAATTTTGTTTCCTGGTTGATGCGTCGCTGACGACTTTTAAGGATTCAGGTGCCGGTATTATGCTATAACATTCTGTCAAAAACGTGCGTTCATATTCCCGCATATTGATAACCACTTTATCTAAAAAATATTTCACTCAGTTTTTCCCACTTAAAATTCAGACTAGCGAGGGACATGAAATTAACTTCTTTATTTTCTAATTACTAGTCTCTCCTCTCATGATGCGTATTTATTTATTACTAATTCGTAATCCAGCTGATATCGTGTGGCATCAATCAGCATCAAGCAACAAATTTTGTTTATTCAGCGATGCCGTAAATATTTCCGATATCCGATAAGCCAGGTGAGGAAATGAAAATAGAAGTTGTCACCTGAAATGTCGATCTTTCTTCACATTCATGATTAGGCCATTTTAGCGCTCTTCTTTTCGCAACTTTGATGGTGCCTGGTTGATGTCAATTTCTATGCAGTCAGTCAGGATTGCCCTATCTTGAACTCTGAGTCTAAAAAGTTATCTGGCAAACCTTGCGTGTAGTCTCCTGTTATTTCCCACAGCGTATACTCATTCAGAAGGGAAGACGGCAAGTGACCAGGGCTTGAATTCGGAATTTGTCGGTTCTGAGTTTGAAGCTCCCACTGAACAACCTCAGTCTGAAGCAATGTATTGTAAATTCTTTGATTAAGGGAATACGTGAATATGACAAAGAATCAAACCCGGCACCTCCAGGATTCGAAACAAACTCTTAGACACTCTGCCACCATGCCACGGTAGTAACTAAGTAAACAAGCCAAATATGAGTGTCCGATATTGTTACCTGCACTGAAGCATATCTTGCGAAATTTTCCTGTGTAATGTTTCATATATCCTCCGTGTAAGCACTTGTTAATCTAGTCCTCTTTTAACTATTACTTGGCGGCAGTCGTGAAGAAATGAGGCATTAACGTTCTAGTGGTTATTGCTTTATCTTTTCGTTACAACTTTTCTAACCTAAGCAAAACTGAAATTTAGTGGCAGTCTTTTAAGAGAATGCGTTTCATCGTTCTACAATCTAGTTTGCCAGTCTATGCCTCCATTGGTTGCAAGTTCTAAGGTTGCACCTCTTGGTTCAGTGGTTGAAAAAAAACTGCAGTCTGTCAAACAAAAATTATCTGTGGCATGTCAGTAGTTTAGTGAGTCATGTACTCCCCATTTAACCGCCCTTATGTTCCTTTTTGACCGCCATCAAACAGCAGAAGATTTTTGAACAGAACTCTCTTGAAGAGATGATCCAGAACCAATTTAGTTTCTTTCTTCAATGGATATCCGTGTATTTCCCTTTCGGGGGCAATTCCAAATGGTTGCTCCAAAAGCTGGATGACGGGACTGTTGGTCCTTAAAATATCATCTGACTGCCATCATCGCAAAAGTTTAAACACCGACACAAATATCGTTGCTCGTCACTTTCAGCAATTATAAAGGGTAGGTTAAAATGAAATGCCGGCACGAAACGTTGTTTAACCAATTAATAGCTTGAAGGCGTAATGAAAAACATTTCAGGTGCAATCTTTATGTAATTAAGATGGTGTCTTGATTGACCTCTATTGCGTAGAAGTTTAAAATATCTCGCCTGGTTACTAAATAACCTTACAATAAACCTGTATTGGCAAGTTCGGAGAAAAGTCCCTTTTGATTTCACTATACGGTAACCACTTAACTTATATTTTATGAAAGAAACGTAGCGTATCGGCGGACCAGTATTCAGCTGATACATTAGTAGTGAAGTACAGTGCTAATTGACACCGAGGCTTCCTCGGATTGAAAAGCGCTAGTACATCATGCAGTAACTATACTAAAAATTTTTAGTATTCACCGAAAAACCGAAAACAGTGACAAAAAATCGATACATCATGTTGTTATTCTCCCTAACAACGGACGATCCTCCTTAATTATTTGTTAACATGCATCATAAATTTATTGTTCACTGAAGAATTTATATCCGTTGCACGGTGAATTTTTCATGGAATTTTTATGCGACGTCGCTGCCTTGTTTCATTGAACAGTTTTTCTTTGTTTTCTTGGTAAAGCCAGGAATGCGCTAATTTTCTTTTTTGGACTTCGGTGAGGTAACAGTCGTAATGGCTTTCAGCGACAGTGCTATGTTACCTTTTCGATGTTACTCACTACGATATTTCGTCTAAGTAGTTACTACTGTTCGCAGTTAGCGTTGAAACACACCATGACATGTACACTTGGTCTCTGTCTACTCTCTAAAGGGATAGAAACGCAGGTTGGCGCCGCGGATAAACTTCACGAAAGAAGAGTGCTACAGGGAGTCCCTAATCATGAAAGTTTAAGTAAAGACAGCAGACATTACATCGGTTACAAACTTTGCTTTTTCTTTTCCTTCAGTGGTGAATCAGTGCCTCAAAATGGCATGTACGTAATTTTCCGAGGCAAGTAAATTATATTTCTTGTAGGAATTTAAAATCGAATATCAACTAGCAGACAAGTTGTCATAACTGCTTTAAACAGGGCGGCATAGATCAATTTTTATAGCCTGTTTCTTTAACTTCAGGGTTTATGACTTTGTCAGAATAGCCTGGAATGTGTAGTATCATGAGAGACTATTCTGCTAGCGTACAATAGGATTCTTCTGCAAAGGCTGCTATTTGTTCTTTTATGCAAGTTGTTCTAATTCTATCCCTTGCCCCTTAGGGCAGTCATGGCAGGATGTTTTACTGCTTTGTTTTTTTATTTCGTTTTTTGAAAAATTTTTCATTATTATTATTTTCCCCACCATTTTATGTACTTGAAATATGCCTATGATGTTTTCTTTTATTTAAGGGTTTAACGTTGAAACGGTCGAATACAAAAACATAAGTTTTACGGTTTGGGATGTCGGTGGCCAAGACAAAATTCGTCCTCTTTGGAGGCACTATTTCCAGAATACTCAAGGTATATATTGTATAAGATTGATGTCTGTTTTTCTCTTAATCTCGTTTTGTATAGGCCTTATCTTTGTCGTTGACAGCAATGATCGGGAACGTATTGGGGAAGCTAGGGAGGAGTTGATGCGTATGCTAGCCGAAGATGAGCTTCGTGATGCGGTGTTGTTAGTTTTTGCGAATAAGCAGGTGAGCCGCAGTACATAATAGTTAGACATAATTTTACCATGTAGAGTAGTCTGGTTGGAAAAATGATCAATTTTAATTAGTAATTTTTATGGTAACCCTTATATAATGATGAACGGTTTGTTTTCACACAACGCAGTGCCACAGTTCATCGGGTGATAGATCGCGACCGACTCCCCTCATATCTGATTGTTAAATTTAAATTAAATGTTGTCATAGATTTTGGTTTTTGTTCATAGTTGGTCTGCTATAGCAGGTTCGAGTTAAATCATCATCATTCAATTACTCGATTGACGTTTTTATAGCGTTGGCGGAATCAGGCATTTGTACTGATGCATGAAGCGTATTGAAAGTGAAATAACATCTTTATGACGCATTT